TTATTTAATCCTTCTGAAAATCTCTTCTTTTATTCTAAGTTGACAAGCCCTGAAAATATTTTTGCACAGAAAGTAATGATCACTTGTCTAGAAGTGATTTTGTGCTACTTTCCTATACTGTTATGGGCAAGGTTATAGAAGTTGAGAGTTGATGACATCACTTCCTGCAAGAAATCTTAAAAGATGGCAGCTCACTGGAAATAAGCACTAGATTTTTAAATGATTAATATTGACCATATTAAAACATTTTCCCATGTTTTGCTAAATATGGAAACTATATATATGATTATAGCTACCATATCAAGAGAGAAAGGGTCTGGCAAGGAATATTCCTTTAAGGACTCTATTGCATTTTGAATTGTTGATCAGTAAACAAGTAAGAATATACCTCACTAAGTTAAGATTTAATGTTACAATTTTTCAAAAAATGTTTTCTAACTACTAAAAACGTTTCTTTGAAGTTATGTTTTATATGAGGAAACCATACCCAGCCCATTGCCAGGTATGGTCAGTATATACTGACAGGTATACTTTCAGTCTATACTGACAGGTCAACTTTTAGTCTAGTTTCAGTATACTTTCAGTATATGTCCCATGTTATGATTCCATTGACAGGTATGTTTCAATTATGGTAATTAGACCTACCAGTATGGTTTCAGTATACTTTCAGTATAAACCAATGGGTATACATTCAGTATACTTTCAGTATATACATACCAGTATGGTTTCAGTATAATTTCAGTATATACCAATGGGTATAAATTCAGTATAAACGTATAGGTATACTTTCAGTATGGTATCAGTATAAACCTATAGGTCAACATTTAGTATGTACTGACAGTCTTAATATGTCAGTCTGTAGACTGTATATGGATGAATATGAATCTACCAATGAGATACCTTAAATTTTAAATCATTCTGCAGATGAGAAAAATTAGTACATGTAATTTGGATAGCAGTCTTATTTTCTAGCATTACATTATCTAATTAATTAGATGCAGGATTATGAAGACTTCTAAAAGACAAACCACAAATAAATCAATATTCTTATATTAACTATATCCAAGTTTTATTCATGATGTATTTTTGATGCAAAGTTTTAATTTTCAAATTTTAAGTTATTTCTTTTTTAAATTTTACTATGACTATATCTTTCATATCTTTCTCTCATTTTTTTGTGTTTTCAATGTATAAAACATTCAATGTAATTATGAGCAGGAATGCTCCCCTGCCACCTAGTCTGGTAGGACAGGTTGTGGAAACAAATGGTCATAAAATAGAACTTACATATGAATAATTGTTGACTTATAGTTTTATCATGAATTTTGCATTTGCCGTTTATATTATAAAATGATAAAGTAAAACTGGTATACGTTCAGTCTAATCATTATTTATCAGAGTTTATTTGGTATGCTTTCAGTATATTCAGTATTTATCAGAGTTTGTTTGGTATGCTTTCAGTATACTATTGAAAATCATAAGTAAAACAGGTATACTTTCAGTATATTCAGTATCTTCATACCTATTTACAGATCTATATTCAGTATATATACCTATGAATTGGTATGGTATCAGTCTGGTATCAGTATAGACCTATCAACAAGGTATACTTTTAGTATACTTTTGGTATAGACTGACTATACCTGGCAATAGGCTGGGTATGTTCAAATTAGTTTTTAGTTTAGTATACAGACCCCAGTTCTGATTCTACTGTCAATAAAACAATATGTCAAATACAATTAAAGAACAATATTTCAAATTAGGAAAAATTGTTATTTTCCCAATAAGGACTAGAAGAGAGGCTGAAGATGAATATTGTTTTCATTTTGAAAGGTAATATTGTGTTTTTCTAGCATTAATAGTTTTTGCTTGATTTATGTGTGTTTTATTTTCTACATTGTGTTTTTGTTGTTGTTTCTAACATTTCCTTGCACCTGTTTTCATTTGCTTTATATGCTATTTTGTCCAATAAACAAGTTAATCCCGACAATCCCGACAAATTTTTGATCAATAAATTTTAATCTGACAGTTATTTTCATGTCTTTATCCAAACTAAAAATTAAAAAGTTTTCAAAATGGAAAAATGAATACAAATACTAATATAACTTTACCATTATCATCAGATTACAGTATTATTTTCGCATTTTTCATTGTTTAAGCTAAGCTTGATATCCATAGCAACCTAGCTTTGGACTCCAGTGACTTAACCTCTAAATGTATAACTCAAAAATAAATAAAATTGTAGCTTTTACAAAATCATGTCTAGCCTAACTTTGCATTATAAAATCGAATTTGTTGCACTAGGTATGCAGTTATTGACGTAATTCTACAGAAGGGTTGTATTGAAGGTTGAGCCACTTTTATCTCATGAGTGCATGTTATCTTTCAATTGTAAGCTTTGTGCATGTATGTATTTATGCTTTTCTATATCCTGTAATAGGTGAATGATTATATCTTATCACTAAAAAAACACTTTTCGCACATAATGTTTTTCTTTACACATTTGCTTTTCAATATCGGCGACAATTAATTTAAAACTTCCATTCGTATGAACTTATGCTCATATCTGTTTATTAGTGCTAAACAAAAATTTCAAAAAACCCTCGGTTAAGCTTTAATGTCCTCTTTAAGAACCCCTATTCTAACTTTTGGAAATGGATTCTAGCAATATATCCAACAGCAATCTAATTGTTGAGATTCGATCAACTTGAGTTCTTCTGAGAAAATGAGGATTTCAGCAAGGGTGCATTGACTTTACATGGTGACACACATGATGGTATCCCTACACTAAGTCAATGGTGTATTTCCCCATGTTTAGCCAATGCACCCTTGCTAAAATCCTCATTTTCTCAAAAGAACTCAAGTTAATCGAGTCTCAACAAGCAGATTCATGTTGAATAGTTATAGTATTGATAGAATCCATTTTCAAAAGTGAGACTAGGGGCTCTTAAAAAGGACATTGGGCTTGCTTTTTTATTATAACTTTTTGTTGGTACTATATGGGGCAAAACACTTATTTGGGAACTGGAAGGATATCGAGATGATATTCAGATTAGTTGGATGATATCAATTTGATATGCGATTTGATATGCATATATCCCCAATATTAGTCCCGGGTAATATTATTCTCAAACAAAAAGGAACAGTGACCAGGTGACTCACAAACAGACTTGCAGTGTTTTAGTGTTATTTCTAGTCATCAATTCTAGGATTTAACAGTAATATAAATGAAATACATGTAACATTAATATTTCCAGTCATTCATTATTTCCTCATCAATCAGGAGATCTATGGGGTAGATATTGCTCTTGGTCATGGTATAAGGTTGTTATTTACCTTTAGGGAGGATATGGGAAATGTCACTTGGATGATATCAATTGATATAGATATTGATATCATCCTTGTGATATCCCCCATATCAAATCCCTCCTAGTGAATAACTACTTTATTATAATGTAATATAATGACTTCAGTATTGTATTGAGTTCGGTATGAATGATATGTACCTTGTGTTATGGTTCTGGATTGTGGTAATGGTACTTGAATTGTGGTAATGGTACTTAAATCATGGTAATGGTACTTGAATTGTGGTAATGGTACTTGAATGATACTGTTAGTGGTGGGGATATTAGATGTTGTTTCTTTTTACTAGAGATCATGTTTTGGGATAGTTGGGTTTTATTTTCCTTTTGACTCAGTGAAGTCTTTGATGTTTTCTTTTTCTCGTTGTGTTCTGTAACAATTTTTGGTCCTTTCCCTTTCAGACGTGTGCATACATATTTAGGTTTTACAGTTTTCTCTTGCTGCAATTTTTCTCACACAATGATAATCATGATGGGCTTATTTTAGTGATCATATTTTATTATTTTATTGTATTTATTGTACATTAGGATTTATTGTATGTTATATTTATTGTAATTTGTCTGCTTTTGCTAAATGAGCTATTTTATATGTCTGATTTATATATGAATTGCAGCTTGGAAGAGAGACTACTTTGGCATAATGCCTGCCAAATGTTATTACAGAGTGATTGTTTTTCAGCATGGTGGAGCTGCAGGGGATTTTGACATGAACATTGTCTCAGCTTGGGAGAGAGGCTACTCTGGTAAAGGGATTGTAGTTACCATTCTAGATGATGGCATTGAGCACAACCACCCAGATCTGCAAAATAATTATGTAAGCAAGTGTCATTAAGCTTCAGATTTTAAAAACTAAAACTGTACGTGCACAAAGTATTACTAGTGAAATATCTGATCAAATAATTGAAGATTTGATATGCAGAAATGTCCAAATTCATTATATATCTACATATGTTCATGAAATACTAATGTTTCCTGATTTCACATTTCTTAAGGATCCTGATGCTAGTTATGACATCAATGGACAGGACGCAGATCCAATGCCCAGATATGATAGCACAGATGAGAACAGGTAACACAAAGGTTTCTCTCAGTTTTCTTTCTCGCTAATTTCAATTTCAAAACCAGCTGGTGTATATTGGGTGAAACTATGAAAGTACTGAACAATAATGTGTGTATGATTCCTGGATAGTGAAGGCACCAATGTGGACAATTTTTCTTTGTGAATCTTGGAAATTTTATTTATATTATATGTCAATGTTTGAAGATTGATCATATCTTACCATATGCAGACAAGATTCTTATGCTGGAATTTTGTTGGAAGCCAGTTCTGATCAAATATTAATTTTTGTAAACTTCACAGAATTGTGTTGATTCGACAACATACCACTGAGATATTTGCCCCCAGAGAAAAACCTCTACCATATAAGCCCTATTGGGGTATTGCTACTTTTATCATAGTTAAGTTTGCAAAAAACTTGATTCTGTTAAAGGTAGGGCTTCACTATGAAAGCAGAAAGTCAGTTTGAAAATGATGTAATATCATGTTTGAAAGTTTAAATACACAGAGTATTCAATTAATTATTATTGGTGTATATTTGCAGACATGGGACAAGGTGTGCTGGAGAGGTTGCAGCCATTGCTAATAATTCACAGTGCACAGTGGGAGCTGCCTTCAATGCTAAAATAGGAGGTCAGAATTTTAGCATTTAGTCTTTCCACTTTATTAAGGCACCTCGTCAATTCAACTGTCTGGAGGTCATTATGTCAAGTTAAAAATTCCTCAAGTCCATATTCTCTTAAACTATGGCCTCATTATATCCATGGTATCTTTTTTAAACTTTATGGAGTTTTTCAAAATGGCCCCAACTTTTGTAGCACTATGATAATCTCATGATAGTGACGTAAACATGTAATAGGATACCAAGTCTTTTCGCTGATTAACTTTCTGTTTACCATCTTGTTTTCGAGAAGCCATTCTAGAGGTTATTTCATAAATCTTCTTTTTGGTATACCAGGAATACCAGTTATCAAGTTTTTCATCTTTGTTAGAAGTTCTACAGTTCTTTAATTTTTGGACAGCCATCTTCTCTTCTGGCATCCGAATTAGAAGTTTTTCGATAAATCTCGTCATTGCGATTCCAGGAAAACTGCTTGTCAAATAATCTTCAAATTTATGACTTCTATTTTTATAATATTATGCAAGCTCATATTCATTATTGCAGGTGTGAGGATGTTAGATGGGGATGTGTCAGATGTGATTGAGGCCAAATCAATAGGTCTCAACCCAAGCCACATAGACATCTACTTCATTATAATATTATGCAAGCTCATGTTTATTATCGCAGGTGTGAGGATGTTAGATGGGGATGTGTCAGATGTGATTGAGGCCAAATCAATAGGTCTCAACCCAGGCCACATAGACATCGACTTCATTCTAATATTATGCAAGCTCATGTTCATTATTGCAGGTGTGAGGATGTTAGATGGGGATGTGTCAGATGTGATTGAGGCTAAATCAATAGGTCTCAACCCAGGCCACATAGACATCTACTTCATTATAATATTAAGCAAGCTCATGTTCATTATTGCAGGTGTGAGGATGTTAGATGGGGATGTGTCAGATGTGATTGAGGCCAAATCAATAGGTCTCAACCCAAGCCACATAGACATCTACTACATTATAATATTATGCAAGCTCATGTTCATTATTGCAGGTGTGAGGATGTTAGATGGGGATGTGTCAGATGTGATTGAGGCTAAATCAATAGGTCTCAACCCAAGCCACATAGACATCGACTTCATTCTAATATTATGCAAGCTCATGTTCATTATTGCAGGTGTGAGGATGTTAGATGGGGATGTGTCAGATGTGATTGAGGCTAAATCAATAGGTCTCAACCCAGGCCACATAGACATCTACTTCATTATAATATTAAGCAAGCTCATGTTCATTATTGCAGGTGTGAGGATGTTAGATGGGGATGTGTCAGATGTGATTGAGGCCAAATCAATAGGTCTCAACCCAGGCCACATAGACATCTACTTCATTCTAATATTATGCAAGCTCATGTTCATTATTGCAGGTGTGAGGATGTTAGATGGGGATGTGTCAGATGTGATTGAGGCCAAATCAATAGGTCTCAACCCAGGCCACATAGACATCTACTTCATTCTAATATTATGCAAGCTCATGTTCATTATTGCAGGTGTGAGGATGTTAGATGGGGATGTGTCAGATGTGATTGAGGCCAAATCAATAGGTCTCAACCCAGGCCACATAGACATCTACTTCATTCTAATATTATGCAAGCTCATGTTCATTATTGCAGGTGTGAGGATGTTAGATGGGGATGTGTCAGATGTGATTGAGGCTAAATCAATAGGTCTCAACCCAGGCCACATAGACATCTACTTCATTATAATATTAAGCAAGCTCATGTTCATTATTGCAGGTGTGAGGATGTTAGATGGGGATGTGTCAGATGTGATTGAGGCCAAATCAATAGGTCTCAACCCAGGCCACATAGACATCTACTTCATTCTAATATTATGCAAGCTCATGTTCATTATTGCAGGTGTGAGGATGTTAGATGGGGATGTGTCAGATGTGATTGAGGCCAAATCAATAGGTCTTAACCCAAGCCACATAGACATCTACTCAGCCAGCTGGGGCCCTGATGATAATGGCAAAGTGGTTGATGGACCAGCAAGACTTGCCAAGAAAGCATTTGTTAATGGCATTTTGAAGGTATATATGTTCATTTAACTGATATATCAACTATAATCATCAAAATTGTTTTCGTTGTAATATGTTGTAATTGTACAGTAATTTTAAAACATCAATTCTGTATGTTTTCTAGAGGTGTCACGGATACCCGATTTTGTTCCGATCCGCAGAATTATGCCCTCGGAACGGAACACGGAACGAAAATTAAGAATTTCGGTTCGGTTCTGGAACAAGAATGTTTTACCCGTTCACAACTTCTGGCCCTTGAATCTCCACAAAACAGCATTTTTCTTTCAATATTTTGTATCAAAAGAGGTTCATTCTTTTTACTCCTTCTCTTTGAAGAGTTTTGAAGAGATTTTCACTACCAAATAGACCTAGATGATCAGATTATTTTAATCTGATACACGCAGTCACTCAGTTCCGAACCGTTCCGAAATTGTTCCGTTCCGAAGCAAACTGATCCGAACCGAACCGTTCTGATTTTTTTTTTGTTCCGTGACATCTCTTATGTTTTCTACTTGCAGGGTCGTGGTGGCAAAGGCTCCATATATGTGTGGGCATCAGGGAATGGTGGCCTTGCTGGAGACTCATGTAATTGTGATGGTTACACCAACAGTATCTATACGCTGTCTATCAGTAGCGCTGATGAACATGGCCGTACACCTTGGTACTTAGAGCAGTGTTCCTCAACTCTTGCCACCACATACAGTAGTGGAGACCAGGCCAAAGACAGGCAGATTGTAAGTACAGGTCATGGTCATCTATATGCCAGCAACCATATCCCCCTCCTCTTCTGGTTTCGTTTATTGTTTTTTATGAGGATGAACTTTGGAGTTGCAATTTTTCAGCACATTAAAAACTGCTTGAAATTGTCTTGTGCTGCTGTGGACAAATAAATCAGTGACAACAGAAATTTGCCATTAAAGTTGGGAAGGGATATAGATAAGCTACCCATCTATTCTTCTGTTACAGGAGTTATGTGTTATTCTCTGATTTTTATATGTTAGGTAACAACTGACTTGCACCATCGCTGCACTGAGAGGCATACAGGGACATCAGCCAGTGCCCCCATGGCAGCAGGGATATGTGCTCTGGCACTGGAAGCCAAGTAAGTTATTCAAACATGTATGCTATCATCTTTAAAGCATGTAAAGCTTAGCATAAAACACATTCATGTAAAAATTTCAAGTTTTTTTCTGCTAATAAGACATTATTGTATTTTGTATTTCGATTTTTTTTCACCAGCAAAAATGATGACATATTGTTATAGACATTGTTAAAGTTTATCTCCGATAGTTGGTGCACATTGGTTGGTGTTCAGCACCTCTTAACAGATGTCTGTAACAAATGGCATGTAATGACATTTTGCAATTTAATGCCTTGTTTATAAACCTACAACCAATCATCAATGTTGCAGACTTTATTATTTAAACAACTAGATTTTTATTAGTTTATTAGTGTCATCTGCAAAAATTAGCATTTTTATCTTGTCTTTTAGTCCTGACCTAGGTTGGCGAGACATGCAGTACATTACCTTGTTAACGGCCAGACCTGAGCCCTTGTATGATGGTGACTGGACAGTGAATGCCAAGGGAAGAAAAGGTATGTGTACTCAATAAATTGTGGAGATCCCCTTGGGGAGAGGATTTATTCATTCATCATATCCATCCTTCCCACCCACCCATGCATCCACCCACACATCCATTTGTCCATCTGTCCCTCCCTCCACCTATCCATTTGTCAAGCTGTTCCTCATCCATCCATCCATTTGGCTGACTATCAATAGCAGCATGTTTTAAAACCTCTGTCGATATGAATCTGGTTTAAGCTTAAGTATGCTCTCCTATTTTTTTTAAAAAATGGCCATTATGTTTTCAACAAAATTTGTTCACTGATTGTAACAATTGAATTCGGATTAAATTCTAGAGGACATTTTTTGTAACCATTGTGATTTTACCAATAGTAACTTCACATTTTCGTAGATGATGTTTTACAATGTCTACTGACAGCTGGTGCTAGGTCACATAGCCCCATAATCATGATAAAGCTTATTCAGTTCTGTACTGGATGTGCATTTACAAACTACTGAATACTGTTCATACTGTCTTGTAGTTAGTCTCAAATATGGTTATGGCTTGATGGATGCTGCTGCTATGGTCGAGTTGGCTGAGCAATGGACTCCTGTCCCTGATCACCATATATGTATGTCACCATTACAGACCATAAACAGGTACATACATTGTAGCTTGATAAAGTATTCAGGCAATGATGAGTAACATACCCTTACAGATAAACAAAATTAAAAAACAATAACTGGTGCACCACATTCAAGAGTAACATCTGAAAATATTGACCACTTTCAATGTCAAAAATATAAGGTTTCAAATTTAATCCTGGATATATGGTGGTTGGTACTTACATTGTTGATACGTATTAAAATAATATCATGCACTAATAAATCAGGTAGCAACTTGATATTATGGTGTCGTAATTTTATATAAATCAGAGAGCATCAATTGCCATTGGTTGTTCGTATCTGTAGCACTAATCTCACTCCTAATCTCAGCGTCAGAATTTATCAACGATATTTCAAGTTCCTTTGAGCATTTTAGAATCATGATTTAAAAATGGATATCATTCAGCTAAGATGACACATTTGAATTTCCCTCTGCCCATTTTATTTACACATACGAGTCAAGATTATTAAATGGTAATCATTGAATGTTTTGTATTGTAGACATATAGATGGGTCTGGTTTGACTGTGACTCTGGACCATACTGCATGTGATGAGGGCTCTCCACATCACATCAAATATCTGGAGCATGTTCAAGCCAAGGTGTCTCTAGAGTACAGCCAGAGGGGAGCCCTAGCAATGACGTAATTATCTCTACTATTCTTATTATGTTATCATCAGAAGTTGTGATATAATGTTATAGTCTTCAACTTTTTTATGGACTGTGTTTGGCGGATGGTGTTCAGCAGTTCACGTTCGATGGTTAGCTGCTATAACAAATTGCAGTTGCTGACATTTTACATGTTAATGCCTGAAATATTAGGCCAACTTCAAGATCAACTTCAAAATTGTTGGCCATGAAAATTAGACCATAAAAACATGAAAGGCTAATATACTAGTATAGTATCTGTTTCTCTGCCTATCAATATACCCATTTTTATACCATTCCCAAATGGTATCTATATTTAAAGTGCATGGTAGGCAAACTACTGTACAGTAAATGAAACTGCAAACTTTGCACAAGATAAAAAATCTATAAGCCATGCATCTGTCTATTCATGTTAGTTTCTCCAATTCCAGGTAAAATGAGATCTAAAAGATCATTCTTTGAAATCTTAGAGCTTTTTTATTTGTAGTATCATATCACCAAGCGGAACAAGATCAGAATTACTCAAACAGAGACTCAAAGATGATGCCAGTGGAGAGTTCAGAGACTGGCCATTCATGTCAGTACATTTCTGGGGGGAGGACCCTGCAGGAATATGGACACTTGAGATAGAAAATCTTGGCTCACCCTCTAACTCAGGTATATGCCAAGCTTTAACCATGTAATATGAACAAATTGTACAGTATGCATGTGTTCTAATGATGTTCTTTTGTGATATATCATTTATTATTAAAATAATGTCACTTTAGTTCGTGTCCCATTATAAACTGAACATTAATGCATAACCATGTAATTTACTATGCATAATTTGAAAAATCACAAACAAAAATGGTATTTAAATGATGAAAAAAACAGGTCATTCTCACAAAAAAGTCATCATCAAGTTAGTGATAATTTTGTATTTCAGGAACATTCAAAGAATGGCGAATCATATTTTACGGCACAGCTGAGCAACCAATTAATATTCAAGAACCAAGAAAAAAGTCAACAGATGATTATATTGATACTGCGGGGTCACATAATCGCCACCGTGGCAATGCTCATGAAAAGGAGAATGAATCTCAATCTACAACAGCTCAACCAATCAATGATCAGGGTGAAACCCTTGACAAGTCTGGAAAATTGCTTGGAGATCAGGCTCAGGAGGTGTTTAGGAAATTTCAATACTTAACTATTACACTTAAATCTATGACTAAAATAATTGAATTTCAATTTCAATTGTTTTCAAACAATTTCACATCTATTCATTTTCAGCCACTTGGTTTCGATATTTAGTTATAGACTTGGTACTCCTTAAAAGTGTGACAGTATACTATATACTATACTATAGGACTAACATTGTTATTGTAGTGTCACCCTGAATGTGCTCATGGCTGCAGTGGACCTGGGCCAGATGACTGTATGGACTGTATGAACTTCAGAGGACCAGGGGGGTACATATGAAATCATTACCAGCTATTTAACTCAATAGATTGTCAGCTTCTCTCAAATCCTCACTGAAATCAGTGAAAATACATTAACTCCGAATATGGTATTAGGTTAACAGATGAAATGAGACCTTATATTGTATATTTGAGACATTGTTTCTATGCATCTTTCTAGGAGATGTATATCCAAGTGTGGAATTGGAATGTATGCCCAAGGAGGTGTATGCTTACAATGTAGCAGCAACTGTGCAAGCTGCAAGAGCTTCAATAGCTGCCTTAGATGCAACTCAGGATATTACATTGATAAACAATCAGGACTTTGTGTAAAGACGTGTAGCTCAGGATTTTATGCAGGTGAGGAATAAAATAGAATATTATAAAAGCCAGAGATGCGTCACTGAAAACATTTTATTGAAAGTTTGTGTGCTTTTCATTTTGTCGAATTTCCATGATATCATTTTGGACTACCGTGTAAACTATGGTTGAGAAGTGATTTGCATGCTTGTGAATGCAATAATTGCATATTTTGTGAGTTCCTTTAAATTGGTGTTGTGTGGGAGTATAAATATGTTTTTTTGCTTCAAAATTACTTGTATGGTATGTTGGCTAGTAGAGATAACCAGTCAGAGCTGAATTTCTGTATGGGCTAGCCTATCCTATACTTATAATAACTGTGATTTGACCTGACTTACCATTTTGTAGCTATATGGTTTGATCTGATCAACCACCACTGCATAGCTATGATTGACATAATCTACCATTGTAGCCATATAATTTGGCATATTCTAGCTCTGTAGCTTGATATAATGATTAGAGGTGCCACGGTCCAAAAAAATTTTGGAGGGGGTACAAATGGTCTCAGGACACGGTACTTTCGGGACGGGACAGAACATTAAAAAAATGATGCAATGTTTGATGATGACAGTTTCACTTTCAGTTTCCCTTTTCAAAATCATATTCAGAAATAAAAACGTCAATTAAAATCGAATATAAAGCATCTGCCGCGAATGTGATCAGCATTTCACATAGTCTGCACGGTGTACTATCACCAATTTGTTTACCTTGTGATATCGGAGTCCCAAAATACTTCCAAACTGCCGACTTTTTCGACTCAGATGCCAGCTCGATTTTTCAATTTCTTTCCTACATCCGGCATACTGATAATGCACTCGATTTGCGAACGACGATGAAGAAATTTACGAACAAGCATTATCTACCTGAAGTCGCGGGTCTATTAATAACACTTTTCAATGCAAAGAAGTGTATTCTAGGTACATTTTTAGAATGAAATCGGAGGTGTTCCTCGCTATTTTTCGCGTTTTTATGCATTTTAGGGAAGGAATTTATGTACCGATACCGAACCGATATTAACCCTTTCTGTCCCGTGTCCCGAACCGAAGCATCCCGACCGAAATTCGGTCCAATATCGGGAAACTGTGACATCTCTAATAATGATTAACCTGATATACCAGAGTATGTATGGTTTGACCTGATCTACCACAGTCTAGCTATATTGTTTGACCTACATGTATTCTACCACTCTGTGGCTACATGATTTGACCTGATACACGACTACGTAGCTGTATGATTTGAGTTTTTCTACTACTTGACCTATTCTACTACTGTTGCTTTGAAATGATTCGCCACTGTGTACTTTATGATGCCATATTGTTTGACTTGATCTTCCATAATGTAACTGTATGATTTGACCTGATTCATTGGCAGATCTGGGGAAGCCCAGAAAAAAATTGGGAAGGTCCCAAAAATGGGCCTTTTTGGTCATTACTGGACCCTCTAAGGCCTTATTTTTTAATTTTATGCCTAATTTTTAAGAAAATGGGCCTCAAAATTTCAGAATGTGGGCCCATTTTGTGGTGTTAGTGGCCCAAAGAGTTTTTTCTCAGACCAGAAATTTGGGGGCCCCCCCCTTGTTGGTTCCCAGATCCGCCCCTGTGATCTACCATTATGTATCTATTCAAACTTCAAGAATATTATTATAGCTTTGTGACAATTTTTGTAAGATTATCTCACAAAAATCTTTTTATCAGTAATCTGATTATGATCGATTTAACTTTTTATTAATGATTCTAATTTTCTTGTACGAAGGTATAGATGTGTAAAAAGGAAATGTCCAGCAGGTGAGGTACATGGATTTCATACATTCTTATTATTAAAATATGATACCATTGGGCTGATTATGTGCATACCACCTGCTTCATATTTGTGCTTCATGTTACCATGTAAACTGTGTTGGGTGCTTGACACAACAATTGGTTTAGGGCAACTCTGCAACATGCAGCTCTGTGAAATCAATTTTCTTACAGAACACTTAACATCTTCCTTCATACATTCTTATCCCAATTCCTGGCTTTTTGTAAAAGGTGGATGAAGATATCTCTAGGGATTTGTCTTTATTTCTCTATTTTCTTGCCTGGTCCAGCTTTACCATTCCCTTTTGTGTTGTTGGTGATCTCAGCACATATTTAATACACAGTCTTGTCAGTGTTCATCATCTTGTTGACTGTCCAGGTGGAACAATGCTTAAGGTGGAATTACACTTCTTAACATAGGGTGCTTGTAAGATATTAAGCTAACACAGTGATTCAAATATTTTATCGAGTGAAAAGTACAATGGCGTGCTGCTCTTTACCTTCCTTTGAAATATTCTTTATACCAAGAAGATGTAGGTATCAATACTTCCAATCTGGTTCTCTGTGCATGCAAATATGGCTTTGATGCTTATTTACCTTTATTTTGTAGATAAAGTGATGGGTGCATGTGTGAGATGTAACCCTAACTGTCTAGAGTGTCAAGAGAAGGCTTCTATGTGTACATTATGTGACATAGGGGAGACATTAGGGGGTGACGGAATCTGTCGTTCAAACTGCCCATACAACCAGTACAGAAACAGGCAAAATCAGTAAGTTGGAGTTATATTGTTTTTTCATCCCCTTATATAGCCTTGCCCAAGTCGGTCTCTTTTACTTATCTTGATTTCTATTATGACAGCCTTGTACCCAAGAGAAAGCCACATGCTTTACTGACCCAATGTTTATGACGGTAAAATTGGACGAATTAATGACAGCCCTGACGCGTTAGCTCATTATTTATGCACGGTTAAAAACAAGAACACTTTTCACCGAGACTTTTCACGAACAAATCGTGCATGAATTCATCATGGAAATACAAATATTTTATCAGATAAATATCAATCAGAGTTTAGTGGATGCCGGAGCATCGATCAGATACCCGGAGGTGAGAAGATTTCAACAAGAAACGTTGAAACAAACGCTGAATTCAAATGGTCAACCATCTAGGCTGAGATTCAATCACTGAATCAGATCTACGACTACATGGCCGGATGGTCTTCGTGCATTTTCATCGCTAATTCATTCAGTTTTCAATCAACATTGAATCGCATGATTTAATTATATTAATGACTGCTTACATTCCAATGTACATTTAATTACATAATAATATTGTAACTCTAAAGAAACACTCGATCAGATCATTGAATTTCAAGTCGTAGACGCGTAGTTTGCTTTGTTTACGCAGGTCAACCTGATAACGTTTTGATTGGTCAATCAGCCTGAAGTTACACGTCTGGTCCATGCGATCTTGTCAATCAATAATGTTTCACGATACCCTTGACAGCGTGGAAATCTAGAAACCGCTGAATAACTTAGCATAATATCAGCGGAGATGTATTGGATTGTACAAGGCAGTAATAATTCAAGATCAGATAAGTAAGAAATACCGACTTGGGCAAGGCTACCCCTTACAGTAAAATTCTCGTATCCTATTTTTCTATTATTCAGAAGTAGGGTTCTCAAATGAGATGAGCATTTTAAAGATCTGTCCTTGTTTAATTATACACATGATATTGTTATGTTAAAGGTGTAAACCATGTGACAATACTTGTAATGGATGTACTGGGCCAACATCTAAGGACTGTGTGAAGTGTGTAGTAAGCCTGAATGGAGAATGCTATAATGCATGTCCATCTGGCTACTATCAGCCTCCAAATGGTTTTGAGTGTCTCAGGTTAGTATTAACTTTCAAAAACACCCATGTCATCAATCACAATTTAACCATTATGTAAACAACAATGAATGTATTTTGAAGTAGAAATTGTATATTTAATATTTAAGGATTTAAGCCCTTAGTGCAATATGGACTGAATCATTCCTCAAAAAGTGTTGAGGAAAATAATGCCTGAGTGGAATGAATCAGCCACAATGCATCAAGTCTTGGGCTTAAATTCTTTTCACACATTGCAAAATCACCTAAAAGATACAAAATCACTAAAAGAACATATTTTCAATGAAACTTATTGCAAGGGTCAAGTTGGCAAAGCATCAATTTCAATCTGTAGAGGAAAGTTATCACCGTGACAACTATTCATTGAATGATCTTGAATGGTTTATTGGTTATATTATGCAGTGCGGTCACAGTATATGAAATACTGTGTTCAGGTTGGCTGGAATCAGACACCTTGCCTAGCTATGTTCGAATATTATTTGGAGGCCTTGTAGCTTTCTAAGCTTTTTGTTCTCATTTAGAGGCCCCCACCTGGGAGACACTTGGTTATATTGTGTATTTCTTGTTATTCAGGTGTCACTCTAGTTGTGGAACATGCAGGGGACCTCAAGATACTGATTGCACACGTTGCAATGACAACAGAGTGCTGACCGATGGAGCCTGCAGACTACCCTTGCCTGCACCGGAGCCTGCACTTAGTCTCATTTCATGCAATGGAGGTCAGCAGTCACTGCAATTATTACTTAGACATGTACAATATTTCACATTTTGGCAAATTGTTACATTTTTATTAGCTCACATGGTGAGCTTTTGCAATCACTCACTAGTCCATCTATCTGTCCGTCCTTCCGTCTGTTCAACATCAATACAGATAACTCCCCTTTGACTCCTGGTTCAAAAGCTCTTTTATTTTCAAAATGGCCACCATTTTTGTCTCGCGAACTTCACTTTTGACCCATTTCCTAGCTTTACAAATAATTTCAGGTGTCCTGCATTGTAAAAATCCATGTCAATGTAAAGAGTAGTTGTATAAAATAATTTTGTAACAAAAAATCAGCAAAAAATTATATCCATTTTTTTATTTTCAGCCATTTTTGTTAACATTGTCCATCTGACTCGCAAAATCCACTTTTCCCTCAACAATAGTGGCACATTGTAAAACTTCTGTCGATAGGATTCCTGTTTTAAGTTATTTCTGTTCAACATCAATACAGGAAACGACCCCTAGTAGTTGTATGACTCCTAGTTCAAAAGCTCACCTATTTTCAAAATGGTCGCCATTTTTGTCCAGCTAAATTCAATTTTGGCCCATTTCCTAGCTTTACAAATAATTTCAGGTGTTCTGCATTGTAAAAAGCCATGTCACTGTAAAGAGTAGTTGTATGAAATAAATTTGTTACAAATTGTGAATAAGTTACTTACTACTATATCTATTGGTTATTGTCGATACTGTCCTTTAGTTCTTTCGATATCTTTATTTCCTTTCTCTGCTTCTAGTTATTTCATGTCTCATATATGGCCACTTCTTGTCAACTGACTTTTCTGAGTCAAAACTGGCATGCCATCTATCTTCAATCTACTTTTAATGTTATTGTTAGCATGCCATCTATATTTCAATTCACTTTTAGACTCCTGGTTCAAAAGCTTGCCTATTTTCAAAATGGTCTCCATTTTTGTCTAGCTAAATTCAATTTTGGCCCATTTCCTAGCTTTACAAATAATTCCAGGTGTCCTGCATTGTAAAAAGCCATGTCTTTGTAAAGAGTAGTTGTATGAAATAATTTTGTTACAAAAAATCCGCAAAAAATTAAAATTATATCTGTTTTTTTTTTATTTTCTGTCATTTTAGCCATCATTCATCATTTGAGCAACACCATGTGAGCTGATTACCCACTGTACTTTTCACTTTATCCTTAGTAGATCTTACACAACGCAGCTTACTTGGTTGTGTTAGTTTGAATCACGACCAAGTAAGTTGTGTTCTAGAGATATATGAAAACCCCCCCAATTCATTCTACATACAACAGTCCTTTTTGAATTGTATTTTATACCACTCTAAGTCCAATTACAGTTGTATAACATGGGTCTATAACAATGATATACAGTGGAGAGAGGTATATTGTCATCGTATGCAACTCCTCCGTATACACTCCAGCGTATACCACTGTAGAAGTGCATTCTGGGAACTAATGAATATAGACCGAAGAACAAGGGGTATGTTTTGTTACACAGACTGTTGTGTCCCTCAAATGAGCAGAGCGAACGAGGAGTTCCGACACTTCAAAATTTTCATGATTTCCTAGAATCAAGTGACGTCATAAATGGTTCCAGCATGATTTGCTAGAATCAAGCCACGTCATAAATGGTTCGAGATCAACATCAGCATTATTGAGTTGGCTATGGGATATTTTTATTGTTTTAATTGTTATGATTGTGTTTGAATCAACTGTAATTGAACTTAGAGTGGCATGATAAGATTATATAATGGTTCTTTCTGTATATCGTGCATTTTATACTCTCGTGAGAATATAATATATTTCACTCGTTCGCTACGCTCACTTGTGAATATATCATATACTCACTCGAGTATAAACACGATATACAGAAACTAACCATTATATATCCTCATAGTATCTTATATTACCACAAGTGTATATTGTGAGTACATTTACAATTTTTGTTTTGCATTGACATATTTACATAAAATTACATTTGCATAAGCATATTACGCTTATATTAGGAATACAGCCTTGACTTTTAAAATCATTGCTTCATCATTGTCTGATTTGAAAGTTTGAAATTGAATGCCATCATTACCAATTCTAAATAAATTGAGAAGTGCAACTCTTTCCGCATCTATAGAATTGTAGAAATGTAAACAATGATCCAATGTTTCTATTTCGCCAGTATCACATATATTACATTTTTGGAGATTTCCTATATTAACTGTACTATAGACTGTATTCAATGCACATAATCTACTTTGCTGTCTTGTGTAGGAGAATACAGAGGTGTCAATGGTGCATGTGAAGTTTGCCATGCTGACTGCATTCACTGTACTGGAGGAACCAGATATGATTGCACACAATGCGCAGAAAACAGGTTAGAAACAATATAATATCTTATTTACGTAATATTATATCTCAAAAGATCATAACAGATGAAAAATGGACATTTGAGAAAATATGACTCATGAATTCTAAGAATATTGTATACATGTTTTGTATTATTCCGAGAATGTTCTGCACATGCTTCTATTATTACTTGTAGGTTTTTGGACCAGACAGTAGGGTGTGTGCAGACCTGCCCAGATGGTTATTTTGGCTATGTAAATCGAGAGTTAGTTGTACAAGAGTGTCAGAGATGTCACCAGTCTTGTTTCACATGTAAAGGGCCACATCGTGGAGATTGCACAAAGTGTCATGAGGGGCAATACCTTGATAGTGGTGTCTGTTTTGACCATTGTGGTTCAGGGTGAGTAACTTTAAAAGACATATCTTTTTGAATCCATATGGTTTAAAACTGTATAATATTAAGTAGTAAGTACATTCCTTTCATTTTGAGTCACATGAAAAATGAAAGTTACCTCCTTCAATCTATTTCCCCTGGTTTTTATGTCACCACCAAAATGTGGTGACATATTGTTATGGTCTCCGTTTTTTATGACGGCGGTTGGCAATCGACAGTTTGAGTCTGTAAGAAATGGTGGTGACATTTTGCATGTTAATGCCTTGTTTATGAATGATGTCATCCGTAAAGGATGGTATCATCTTTTGTAATTTTCAAACTCAAAAAATTGCCATTGGGCAGTATCTTTTTCCCCTTGCCTAACCTAGTACTGTAATGTATTCGCTGTAAAACGCGCCCAACCACCCCCTTTACTTCATTACTGTGTTATGACTTGCCTAGTAACTTAGTATACATGATACGAGTTCTTAAGTGATAACAAATGTATTAAAATTGTTAAAGTAAAATATTATTATTGGGTGTTGGGTGTTAAAAATTGGGTGCTTTTAACTACCAATACTGTAGTTGTAATTCTATATTCTATATTATCAAAACTATGAATTAAAGATGTCTCTCTCAGGCAAATAGTTTTAAAACAATGAGTTTCACATCAAAGTACATTGAAGTACCCTATTATTGATGAGCTCATTTAGTTCTCGCATAACACACATACACAATATTCCTGTTGTAACTTTACTTTTAGAGATGGCAAAACTCCCACTATGCTCTATCATCTTTGATGTTGAAGGAAAAAAATTCCCAGGAATAAATTTTATTTGATTACATTTAGGATGAATTTTAACAGCCCAAATGAGAAAGGATCTCTTGTATCTGATAAATACGGATAGACAATTTAAAAATTAAAATTCAGATATGTCTATACAATTCCAAAATTACAGTCCAACATATTTATAAAACACGCAAATGTTTATTGTTTAATTAAAGTATGATTTTCTCAGGTATGATTGGGTATAATTATAAAAAGACATCATGAGGAGCCAAAAGTACATGTACTCCAATTTAAGTTGCTCTCTGTCTCATATTCTCCCCTTAATAACATGTCCCCAGCTGTGACTGAGAAGCACTAATAATATATGTATGTATATACATTTACAATGGAACAATAATAGCCTATAAAATATGATTTTGCATTGTTAAATCTCCACATTAATATTATCAAGGATGCATCCACCATAGAAAACAAGTTAATCTGCTTTCCGACAGTTGCCAATGATAAAGTGAAATTTGAATCCTTTGTAAGTCCTTTGATTAAAAAGCTAATGTCAAATGGGAATTTTCTTAATGCTTTATTCTATTCATAGACAGGCAAACTAAGCCCTAAAAATGAAATACGATTTTTATGAAAACATGATATTGAGTTGAATCGAGAGGAAACAAAGATGGGGGTTATAAAAAAGTCTGCCCTGGATTGTTAGGAAATCAGGTTATGTAAAACAGGGTAGTCGAGATGTATTGATTAGTGTTTTTTGAATAAAATGAAAATATTCATCCTGACATAGTTGAGACAGTATTTATGTTAAAATTGATGAATAGATCAATATAAAGGTTCGCTGTACATGTAATTATATGAGATTGATGGCAAGTTCACAATGTTTGCAGAGTTATTGTCCAAATGTCACAATGGATGAATGTTTTTGTATAATCATTTCTCAGTATTAAGGTGGACAGGTGTTATAAATAGTATTTTCTCTTTGAAACTGAATGATAAACTATAATGCATCAAGATAAATGATCATTTTAAGAGGTATTGTGTTCCTATGTATACTCTAATCATCAGAGCATAAAAATATATCCCACATCTGACTATAATCATGTTGCATGTATATATCTCATATGTTTTCCTGTTAAAATAGAAGCTTGTGTTACAGTGGTTCATCCAGATTAGATGCCTAAGTAGGGGTGCTACAATGTATTATATGAAGACACTTAATAGTTTATGATGAAGTTATGAATATACATTTTGTGACAGCATTGGGTGTAAAAGACTTCATCCTCCTAGATAGTCTAGAGGGGTTATTCCTAGGTACAAATACTCAGTGCTATATATTCTGTGATAAATATTTCTCTATACTTTCGAGTTAATTAAATCAAGTCTAACAGCGAAGCACTAGTAGATTCTTTGTTTTACATATCCTGACATTCAAGATTTAGAGTAAATCAGAAAAAACATCTTAAAATCATTAATATGGTATGAAGACTTTTAAGAATTCCAGGGGATTCAAAAGGATTATTGTGCATAAAATTGAATGGCTTCATGTTACTAATACCATTGTAAACTAGAAAGTTCTGCACAAAAATTCAAACAATTTCCAAGCATAACTAGTGAATATGGAAATTCTTTGTCAAGGATTTGGCAATGGTACTGACACAGCTTTGAAATTGATCTTCATTCTTTATTAATTTGCATAAATACTCTTCACACTTTGTATGTAGAGCTTGCTGTCCTCTTGGGTTTTCTCTTGAAAGCCCACGCCATGCTGTATGAAGTGTGCCAGACCATGAACCAGAAAAAAGTTGAAGGCAACTAAAACTTAGAAAGTATTTGGCATAGTCAGATTATGCTATTTCTGTCCTATAATACCTTTTTATGTCCCCACCACATAGTGTGGGGCCATATTGTCTGTCTGTCTGTCCATCTGTCCATCAGTAGCTCCGGCAGTTTTCTCCAAAACCGCTACAGATATCACCTTCAAATTTTCAGGAATAACTTGTCAGTGCATACAGATGTAGACGAAAATTTTTTAACTCAATACATACTTCCTGTCGGCCATTTTGAAGTCTAATGCTAAAATCCTTGTCTGCAAGCTTTAAGAAAAACGGCTTCACAGTTGCTTTTAAAACTTTAACATCTTGTTCAGCTCACTTCATTCTACATCTGATTAGGTTTTGGACCTGTTAGCTCAGTCATGGCAGCCATTTTGAATGTATTTTTATTGTATGATCTGTAAAATGAAGCCTTCTGATTGGTCAGTTCTTGTGCTGTACCAATCTGTATTCCACTGAAATTGTCCCCATTGATCATTCCCGTCACAATACAGAAAATATTGGTATGGAGTGAACATTCTCAGTAGCAATATAGATGATCACACAGTAACATTATAGAATGATTTGAAGTGCAATACAGGATGTATTCTGTATTGGCACTCGACTTCATCTCTTTCCTATACAGAATTTCTGGAGCAGAATACATCTTATGTTGCACTTCAAATCATTCAATAACTTATAGTATCATATTGAATGGTGTTTTTGAGTTTTCATACTTTAACTATTTAGTAGCTTTATAAATAATTGCAGGTGTACTTTGTTGTAAAAGCCTATGTTATTATTAACAGTAGTTATATGTGATAATTTTGTAAAAAGAAATCAGCAAAAACACACAATCACTTTTTTATTATCGGCCATTTTGGATTTTTCCATCCTAAAATCGTGTCTCTTGTCTTGTTTTCAAGTGAACCGTTTGGTAGATCAATTTCAAATTTTCAGGGATGATTCTTAGTGTGAAAATCTAGATCTGATCAGTTTTTTGGCATTCTGGGTAAATGTCAAGGCAGCCATTTTGAATTTTCCTTCCTAAAATCTTGTCTGTAAAGTCTTGTCTAAGCGTTTTCTCATTAACTGTTTGACGGATCAATTTCAAATTTTCAGGGGTGGTTCTTAGTATGAAACTAGAACTGACTCATTTTTTGGCATTCTGGGTAAATTTCAAGGTGGCCATTTTGGATTTTCTGTCTTAAAATTGTGTCTGTAAAGTCTAATTGTAGTCCTCATTGAAAGCCTGCCAAATTTCAAGGGTGCCACATTGGATTTTTCTCTTAAAATCTTCTCTTTTCAACTGATTAGTGTTACTTTCAGGATAAAAAATTTGCAGTATATAGGATCACCCATTGGTGGGGACATGTTGTACACATTTATGTTCTTGTAATACTTGTGTATTTCAATTTAAACCCTGACAACTTAGCTTTGAACTTTGAAGAAATGGGCATTGTGTATTTTCTGTCTATAGTATATTGTGTCACTAGCACAAGTGGTTAGTGTTTGAAGTCATTGCAAATTAGATTGCTGTATCTGATACCCTTTTTATTATATTATAATTGTAACCATTTCTTAGCATATTTTGTGTTTTGCTTTGAGTTTGTCGCTGTTTTCTTTGAACTTTTGCACAATTTGTATTTTGTCAGGACATAAAACAAAGAAATATGACTTGCATCTCAACTACAGTATCCCTAATTGGTCATACAAAGGTATGACAGTGAAATTACAGTGTATTTGTTCTAATTTTAGAGAGTTCCAAATAGTAGATGGGACGTGTGGACGATGCCACAGCTCTTGCCTCAACTGTCATGGACCTCGACAAGACCACTGCATCAGCTGTGCAGGAGGAACAGCCCTCTACCAGTCAATGTGCTTGGACAATTGCCCAGCAAACTACTTCAAAACTGCTGAACATGAGTGCCAAAGATGCCACTCTTCTTGCCAAACATGTCACGGTAAGCAAAAATACATGTATGCAGTGAAAAAATTGGCAGCAGAGAAATACGCAGCAAAGAAACTTGCAGAAAGAATTTCTAATTACAAACTTAAAAGACTACAGGAGTGTATTCAGTACAATAAGAACATATCAAAGCGAGTGTTGTTCTATTGCATTAGATTCACAGGGATTGCTTAGACTATGTTAAAGATACATAAATAGTAGGATTGAAGAACATGGCCATTAGACTATTTGTTAGAGATACATGAATAGCAAGATTGAAGATTGTGGCGATTAAAAACAAATGTCCCTTTACTATTTGGAATGTATTAGCATCTCATACATGTAGTTTATGCCGTGATATCTCATAGTTTAGTTGTAGATTCTACATATTTCATAGTTGTAGATCCATGATATCTTATACATGTTGATTCTGTGATATCATAAATTGAATGAATGTCAATACCTTTCACATATATGAATGGGGAACTCGCAATTTATACAACATGAAGGAGCGCAAACAACAAATAGCAATGCTTGAATTTCTCAGTCATAATTTTTTTATTTCGGAAGAAAGTGGACATTCTGGAATGACATGAGCGTAAAAAGTTTATAATAATCATGACATTAATAAGTAATTAATTTTAGAGATTGTGTATTAAGTTCATCATTATCAGAAAGTCTAGTTATCAGAACCACATAACCAAGAAATAAAACTCCCTCCAACCATATAACATTATAATAATCAAACTGCTGCAATAATAAAACATGAAAATGAAACTGCTTGAACTCAATACCTGCTCATCAAGCTTCCAGAACCATATGACCTGGTAATCCAGCTACTAGTATCATATAACATGGTAATCCAGCTACTAGAATCATATAACATGGTAATCCAGCTACTAGAATCATATAACATGGTAATACAGCTACTAGAATCATATAACCTGGTAATTCATCTACTAGAATCATATAACCTGGTAATCCAGCTACTAGAATCATATAACTTGGTAATCCAGCTACTAGAATCATTTAAACTTGTAATCCAGCTACTAGAATCATATAATCTGGTAATCCAGCTACTAGAATCATATAACATGGTAATCCAGCTACTAGAATTATAAAACTTGGTAATTCAGCTACTAGAATCATATAACATGGTAATCCAGCTACTAGGATCCTATAACTTGGTAATTCAGCTACTAGAACCATATAACCTGGTAATCCAGCTACTAGAATTGTTTAACCTGGTAATCCAGCTACCAGAATCATATTACCTGGTAATACAGCTACTAGAATCATATGACATGGTAATACAGCTACTAGAATCATATAACTTGGTAATCCAGCTACTAGAATCATTTAAACTTGTAATCCAGCAACTAGAATCATATAATCTGATAATCCAGCTACTAGAATCATATAATCTGGTAATCCAGCTACTAGAATCATATAGCCTGGTAATACAGCTATTAGAATCATATAACATGGTAATCCAGCTACTAGAATTGTATAACTTGGTAATTCAGCTACTAGAATCATATAACATGGTAATCCAGCTACTAGAATCATTTAAACTGGTAATCCAGCTACTAGAATCATATAACTTGGTAATTCAGCTACTAGAATCATATAACATGGTAATCCAGCTACTAGAATCATTTAAACTGGTAATCCAGCTACTAGAATGATATAACCTGGTAATACAGCTACTAGAATCATTTAGACTGGTAATACAGCGAATAGAATCATATAATCTGGTAATCCAGCTACTAGTATCATTTAACCTGATAACCAAGCTTCTAGAACATATAATCTGATAATCAACTTTATGGAACATGTACTTAATTACCTTATACCTTGTGTCTTTGAAAAGTATTTCAATAGAATACAAATATGTATTAAAAAACATTAAAGAGATATTTTCACTGGTCTGTATCACCTTCGCATTTAAGATGGCGGACAGGAAGTGTCGATTTCGATATTTTTAGTTTTCAACTAACTAAACTACTGTATAGTTGATTTAATGCTTTGATATTTGAACTAAATCAGACTTATATGACATGGAATCTCTGGAGTTTGATCATATGTTCATTTATCATACGTGGGCCTAGTGGGCACCACAGTTCAACGATATCTTCCACTGCTCAAGGGAAGGTAACTGTAAATTTATAATATGATATTGGTCATGAAAGCAAAACCCCAGTAACCTTCCCTTAAGCGGTGGAAGATATCGTTGGATTGTGGCACCTATGCACAATGTATGAACAATTGATCATGCCCTTGAGTTTCAATGTCATATAAGCCTGGTTTTGTCCAAATATCAAAACATTACATCAACCATAAAGTAGTTGAATTCCATGAGAACTAAAAATATCGAAATAGACACTTCCTGTCCACCATCATAAATGCAAAGGTGACGGCTGTAACCATTGCTTGATACTGACCAGTGATTATGAGAACTTTATGATCACCCCTCATATATACAGTAGTTGTTGTATTCAGTATTGGAGTATGAAATACATGTACATAAAATTAATACATTATTATTATGTTTTCATGTTTTTGTGATTATAAAGATTAGCTTTAAATGTCCACTTATATTACTGGGATTATGAAGGGAAATGTGAAAGTGAATTCAAACGTGAACTAGACTGCTTAATATCTGTTCTCCAATTCATGTCAAAAGTCCATGAGAAAGGGTGGATTTTAAAATAATCTAGCTTTAACGATATTAAAGAAAAAAATTCCAAAGATTGCAGTTGAAGCCAAACAAATATCAGAGATTAGGCTCTTACATTGTCGTTCTTTAATGAATAATCATTGACTGCAGAGTATGCTTTATAACACCTTAACACATATTTGCCAGTCCACCTTAAGAGGAACAGTGGTGAAGCTGGCAGTGGGCCTTGGACTTATTGACTTGTTGGGTGAAATTAATTAAGGGGTTTCAGGTGGCCCTCGCTACAATATTACAGAGGCTTGTGGCATGTCCTTACATGTATGTATACAGTACTAGTGCACATAAAAGATAACAGGGCTAAATCATGGCTACATGCTTAAAATGATTACTGTAAAATACAGAGTATAAACAAAATAATGTACATTATAAAAATACCTGCACAACAATTAACACACGTCTTATCTTCCAAAAATACATTATAAAAATGCCTGCCAAAACACATTATAGAAATACCTGCCAACAGACATCCTGTCCTCCAAAATATACAATATTAAAATACCTGTCATACAACAATCAATAGACATCTTCCAAAATACATTATAAAACTACCTGCCATACAACAACCAAAAGACGTCCCATCTTCCGAAGTGCACCCCATAAAACAACCAACAGATGTCCTATCTTCCAAAATACTTCATAAAAATACCTGCTGACACACATCCTACATGTATCTTCCAAAATACATTACAAAATAACTGCCATACAACAACCAAAAGACGTCCCATCTTCCAAAGACATACTTTTCTACGGCAGCATGAAGAAATACCAGTCAAAAATGACAAACAGAATTCTTTTGATAATGATACACCTTTGACTACATATAAATTAAATAGAATCTTAATCCCTAGTAGTTTGGCATGCAAATCAATACATTCAGTATTATTATCAAAATGTTCAAATATCTACAAAATAGGGGAATTTTTAAGGCAAACCTAACCTAGGATGATAGGGAACTGATATTAAATGGCTTATATGACAATGATAAATCAAACTACAATGGCACATGAAGCTTACTCTATTGGAAAATATACATTATGCACAATCATTTGTTTTTACTGAATAGAGTCACTGTGGGGTAACTCTTGTTTTTAAGTTCCATTTTCGTAATTAAGGTGAAGTATATTGATGATTCTGTCATCTCATGAATAATTCATTCGCAAACATTCAGATTTTCTAAAGCATATGATACTGACACACATTATTGCCAAAAAGGTCATAGAGATTCTGCCTATATCTTGAAAAATTATGCAAAAGGTGAAATCATACCTTCGTAGCTGCTACATTTTGTTAAGTAAACGGATTGTTTTTGTAATAATTTGAAGAGTTACTCCATAGAGAAAGTGTTTAGTATACGAGTATATGCTTTCTCGGTGTTTGGCTTTGCTTCCCTTACAAAATCAAAGGATTTAGTCTTGCTTTCCCTATTATTTTGTCTTAAAATGCATGACTGCCATAATGCTTTAGTTCACCCACAAATATTATTTTTAGAGTGTGTCTGTTTTTCACATAAGTCTACTTTTATGAATCCCATATTTTCAATGAAAACCAAAAGAGTGAAGTGATGTAACCTTTTTGTACTTCTGTGACTTTTTAACTAAATGTTTGTATAGAGCCTGTTATTAAAGTAGCATACATATAGAACCAGTTGCTTTAGAGGTCCATAAAAATCCCAGTGGCTTACAATTCATAAGACTTCTGTTTTGAAATTAGATGATTCTATGCAAGTTTCATTTTGATAAAAGATTGATTTTTTAAAATTCATTGCTATCAGTGCATAATATTTCAAAGAGATGTAACTGGCTTTGTGTGAACAAAAGATGACTAGAGTTATTTTGTATTTTGTATTTTGGCTCATTTTGTAATTTTTCCCAATGTTATCAAGATGTGGTATGTGAATTACGTGAAAAGTAGTTCTGATAATAATGCAATTGTGACTTTAGAAGAATGAGAGGATGATATAAAGGGGGCCCCTATAAATACTGTGAAAAGTTATACCTCCAGTCTTACTACTGTCGTTTGCAAAGAAAACAACAGAAAAGCAAATTGAAATATGTTTTCAATATTTATTGAAGAACTATACTAGACATATAGCCACTTTAAGAACATCACAATGCTACCTCATGCCATCTCAAAATTTA